CAAGCAAACAATATGCATTTTATTATGGCTAAATGTATACATCTAGGCACAAAGAATGTCAGCCATATTTACACAATGCGGGATTCTATCCTGGGAAACAGAGACGCATGAGTCATGGTGGATGATCAGCTGAACATGAGCTCCCAGTGTGATGATGTGGCCAAAAGAGCTAATGCGCTCCTGGGACATAAACAGTGGAATCTCAAATAGGAGGAGAGCGGTTATTTTACCTCTGAATTTGGCAATTGTGTGACTGCTGCGGGAATGCTGTGTGCAGTTCTAGTGTCGATAGATTGGAGAAAGGTCAGAGAAGAGCCACGAGAATGATTAAAGGACTAGAAAACTTTACCTAATAGTGATAGACTCAAGGAGCTCAATCTATTTAGCTCAACAAAGAGAAGGCAAAGGGGTGCCTTGATGCCAGTCTTTATGTATCTTCATGGGAAACAAATATTTAATGATGGGCTCTTCAATCTAGCAGAGAAAGGTGTAATATGACTCAATGGCTGGAAGTTCGAGCTAGACAAATTCAGACTGAAAATAAGGTGTACATTTATAACAGTGTGAGTAACTAACCCTTGGAACAACTTACCAAATGTTGTGGGGTCTCCATCACTGATAATTTTAAAATCAAGATTGGATGTTTTTGTAAAAGCTCTGCTCTAGGAATTTTGGGAAAAGTTCTCTGGCCTGTGTTAAACAGAAGATCAGACTAGATGATCACACTGGTTCCTTCTGGCCTTGGAATCTATGAAACACAATGGAGGCAACTCATGGTCCAGTGAAAGTCCTCTTCATGCTGTCATAGCTGGCACAAAGAGGACGAAAAGCAGCTGTCAGAAAAAGCTGCTGGGTGTTTAGCACTTCTGAAAACCAGGTCATTTATTTGGGTACCTAAATATGGATTTAGGATATTTTTAGGCTAATTGTCCTAAGCTTATTGTTTAGGCTAATTGTCCCAGGAAGTACAAAACCTTGGCCTCTTGCTGTTTTAGAAAGCAGCTTTTAATTCTGGGGTGGAAGTGGGGTCCAAGATCAAACAGTTCCCCTGGAGTTTTAAACTGCAACTGTCAGTTTTGTCCTTGACGAAATGTGTGTCCCTAGTAAAGCCAAAGGGTTTAGTTCAACCAGCTAAATTCATCAGAGACATTTTGCAAAGCTGACATAATTCAGTGTGAACTAACTCTTGCCGATCGTACACATGTGCGGGGCGATCTGGTTCATCCATTTCATAAACATTAAAAAATAAAAAAGGGAAACAAATTAGTATTTCTTTTGTAATTTATCTTTTGTAAATATCCACCAGAGGGAGCTAGAGGGCACTATGATGGCCAGCAGGGCATGGAAAGAGGATGGGGTAGTTAATGTATACAGGGGAACTAGTGGTGGTTAAGGATTCCTTGAAAGGTTACACGTTCATCTCCCATCCTTTATGAAGCCCAGAAATTAATATAAATCTGGTGAGATGGGCAGCCCATCCTCCTCCAGCTACGTCTGAGGCTGGGATTTTGTGGCTATTTGAAGTGGATTCTGTCTGAAAGGAGCTTTTATCCTTTCTGGATATGTGAAAAGAATAAAAATCAGCGAGGATAGTGGAGCTCACCTTGCAAACCGCTCTGGAAACAATCTCCCATGGTGTTTTCCTGGAAGGCTTTTGCTATGTACTAGACACTTCAAGGGATAATGAGACCATAGGGTCTTCCCCTTGCAAAAGTGGGGTCTGAGCAGAATGCAAAATGGCCACCTGCTGGGCCAATGTACACGAGATGAACGGTTCCTGAGCTAGTGGAAAAGCTCCCTATTGCTACATGAGTAGGGGATGCTGTCAATCACAGAGCTTTCTAGTAAAGGATAATGAGGAAACCCCTCAGCTAATGACCCTGTAGGGCAGAGACCCAACAGCAGTTCTGCCATGAAAGCCTGCTAAAAGTGCTGTTGTTCTATACCTCCAATGATAAGCTACAGGCAGTGGGCCGGCTACTGGGTGGAGGCAGTGACAGGCTTTACCACGGAGAACAACATGTTCATTAACAGTGCATTACACTGAGGAACTGCATGAAAAAAATAGAGAAGTCCAGGACCTGCTGGGATGAAGTTCGGAGCCCTTCCTGCCCAATCGCCCGCTAGCCACACAGAAGAAGGTGCTGTGCAGCTTGCAGGGCCATGTACAAAGTGGCCAACAAAATTTTGGCCACCTCCACTTCCTCTTTTCTCTGGAGGTGGCGTCCAGGCAGTCCCACACCATGTGGCATCATGGTAGAGGCAAGCAGCCCAGAGAGCCACAAGTGGTTACAGCAGAGGCAGATGCTCTACTTCGAACAATTGAAACATGGCAAGAATAGCCAGCATTGATTCTGTATCACTGTATCACTTAAGCATTGATACAGTCTCAATGCTAAGTGCCTCCCCACTCTAGAGTGACCGTGATCTTCTGAGATCCAGTGCGGTACATCAGTCAAATAAGGCAGAGGGGATGTCAGAAGTCACCTCCTGGCACCTTTGCTCTGTTCTCACGGCCAAGGACATAGTCTGTGGCTGATTAACTGCCAGGTTCAGTAGCCAGTAAGATCACACACAGATTTCTCTGCTGAAATAGCCTCTAGTGGTTTCCTGTCAGAGCACCTATGCATCTGGAAACGTGAAGAAAAGCACAGCTGTCTATCAGAACACTTCTTCTCCCGACTGGTCGGCCACCATCTTGTGTGCACCCAGGCCACCTCTGGAAATTTGTGTGACAGCACAGCTCGCCCTTTAGAGGACAAGGCTGGTTGGGTACATGGTAACTGAACAGGAAGCACCTAAAACTGCATGGCCTCTGCTATCTGCAGTCTTGTAGCTGTGTCGGTCCCAGGATATCAGAGAGACTAGGTGGGTGAGGTAGTATCTTTTATTGAACCAGCTTCTGTTGGTGAGAGAGACAAGCTTTCGAGTCACCATGGACGGTGCATGACTTTTGCCTTTGAGATGGCTGAGTGTGAGCACCAGAAGTTCCCTAGAATTGGGGGGCCACAGCCCCTGCTCCGCCCTGAGGCCTGCCCTTGCTCAGCCTCTTTCCCTGGAGGCCCCACCCATGCTCCCCCCTTGGTGCCACCCCCGACACCTGCCCCCACTTGGCCTTCTCCCTTCTGAGGCTCCGCCCCCTCCTGCAAGGCGCCTCCCACTCACCACTTGTGTCTCTTCGCTAGAGTCCTGAGCAGATACAAAATTTATATCCACGGAGCTGCAGGGCTCTACTGGGAACCACAGCAGCGAAAGCAGCAGCATGTCAGGCTGACGACGGTCCCAGAAGCCAGCACCTCGTGCCAGCAGCTCCTTGGCCGTGGCTGTACTGCCACCAGCCCTGCACACTGGGACAGGCACCAGCCTCCCTGGAAATTGTCCCTGGTCACGCTAGTGTGCACAAGCGTCTCGCATGCTCCCAGATAGGAGTCCCTTCCACACAGCGGTCTGCGTCTCCCATCCAGGAGTGTGCAAGCCACTTGCACAAAATAGCGTGACCAGGACTGTTGCTGGTGAGCCTAGTGCCCGCCTCAGTGGGCAGGGCTGGGGGTGGTACAGCCACGCTGAAGGGGGTGTTACAGGCACACTGGAGGAGCTGCCAGCATGGGGTGCTGGCTCCTGGGAGCAGCGGCCAAATATGCTGCTTCTTTTGCCGCTGCAGTTCCTGGTAGAGCCTGGCAGCGCTGCAGATATCTGCATCTGCGGATATAAATTTTGTATCTGCACAGGACTCTACTCTTTGCCCCCTCCTCAGAGGCCCTTACCCTGCCCACCGGGGTGGAGAGATGCAAGCGGTAAGTGGGGGAGGCCTTGGGGGTAGGGGCGGAGTGGGGACAGGAAGAGGGCCACAGGGCAGAGCATGGTCAGGGCCATGACTCCAGCACTCTTTCGGCAGTGGCACATCAAAGGTGGTGGGACAGCCTGTGGAAGTGTGCTGCATCCTGTTTGGTATACCTGCCACCCCTGCAAGCCACACACAGTTCTTCATGTAAGCTCAAAAGCTTGCCTCTCTCATCAACAGAAGAAGTGGGTCTGATAAAAGATATTACCTCGCCCCCCTGGCTACTGGCAGACTAGAATAGGTTATATACACTGTACGCAGTCTCAATACTCCATTCAGAAAAAGGCTGCTGTTGAGAAACACAAGTGGCTTCTATATCTGGAAGAGCACCATGTGGAAATGGGAAGGAATGGACTCAGGTTAGTGCTAAGGCAGGAAAATGAGATGGGTAGTGAATAATAATTGCTATTGCTCTGCACTTCGTAAAAACCAGAGGGAGTAGAAATGGAGAAGACCCCTGGGCACCAGATTGCACTGTGCAGTATATTATGGTATCTGGTAGTCCAGTCTGGTTTTAAATGGCCTGAGCTATGAGACTCCTACCAGTTCCTGTGGGGGACTGTTCCACTCTGATAGGTCTCCCTGTCAGGAAGGTTTTTTTCTGAGATCCAGCCTAGATTTCTCTTTTAATTCCTCCTCGTTCTACTTCTGTTACCCCTCTGCTTCAAACCCCTCAAAGCGCTTTATACACCTTTAGTGTCTGAGCCTCCCAACCCCACAGGAGGGGAGCCAGGGCCATCACTCCCCTTTCACCGAGAAGGGAAGTGACCTGCTTCTGTAAGAAATAAAATGAGCAGTGGTGCCAACGCAGAGGTGTTAGCTAGTGCCTGGAAGGTCCCTAGCATGTGCAATACCATTAGAGCTGGTAATAGGGATGTGTCTGAATAGTATCAACTCAGGGATAGCCTCCTGAAAAGCAGGTGGTTCTTTCAAGGCAAAGAGAGCTGTGGAGGAGAAGCAACCCTGCTAGGAGGATGGAGCATGGAGAGGAATGGGGGGAGGGGGGAGGCAGGGCATCAAGGGGGCATCCCTGCCCAAGAAGCCAGGCCCAAACAGTTGGACAAATGGGCTGAATTTAGAATGTTCTCTTCATACTCAAAATGGTGTCTCCTCCCGTGTTTGGCTCTTCGGTTTCACGCAGTGTGTGCTTGTGTTTCAGCCCGGTCAAAGAGCTTGGTGATGGGTGAGCAGACCGGGTTGCCCTCCAGGCCGTCGTCCCCTAGCCCGCAGGACCGAGTGCTGAAGTCTGGCTGGCTGAAGAAGCAGAGGAGCATCATGAAGAACTGGCAGCAACGGTGGTTTGTGCTGCGTGGAGACCAGCTCTTCTACTATAAGGATGAGGAGGAAACCAAGCCGCAGGTAAGGCCACGCTGTGATACGGTGCATCGGCCCTGGCCCCAGAGCTACGGGTGTGCCCAGTCTTCCATTTTGAGACCTCTCTCTGAGCCCTTTCTGGTTACTCCTAGTGCTGTGAAGGCTCAACAGTAAGAGCGCTAGCATAGCTAGGAGGCACTACTGGGGCTTCGTGGGGTGATGACCATGGATCCAGAACTCCCAGGGAATTCTGGGCAATTCCTCACTAACAAAGCAGATCACCATGTTAGCTCCACTCCCTCAGCGATCTGCTGAGTAATTAATGCTCTTCGGGCCTCTGACCAGACCCAAGGCAATTGGCACAACAGGGCATCATTGCAGAGTGTCGCTGCCCACATGGGGCAGGAGGGGAGACTAGTAAGAAGTGGCTCTGAGGGACAGACAGATTGGAGTTCCAGCTGGAGGGACACCCCCCCACACACACACACACGAGGAGATGAGACCAAGAGGAAAGGAACTAAGCCACAGCAGTGGGAGGTAGGAGGAAGCACATCCACAGACGGGGTGGAGTCAGGGCGGGGTCAGGGGCGGGGAAAAGGACAGGGGGCGTGGGCACCCACCGGTGGCAGAGAAAGTTGGCGCCTATGATCTGATCTGGAACATATGAATAGCCAGAGGCAGTCAGACCTGAGGCCCTTCTAGTCCAGTAGCCTGTCTCCAGCAGTGCCCAGCACCAGTTGCTTCAGAGGAAGGTGCCAGAAACCCTGCAGTAGTAGTTGTGAGATAATCTGTCCTCCCAAATGGATGTCACCCTGGTCTCTAACAGTTGGCTTAAGCCCTGAAGCATGAGGTTTAATATCTCTTCCAAAATTCTTATGTGTAATGATTATAACGATGGATATTCTGGGTATCCATTTTGCTAAATTCTTGGCCTAAGAACTTCCTGTGGCAGTGATTCTCACAGGCTAATTCCCTGTTGCATGAAAATTTCCTTTTACTCCTTCAAACTCGGGGCTGTTAGAAATCCGGATCTAAACTGTGCCCCTTAAGCCCCCCTCAGATGTAGAGGCAGTATCACCTTCAGGATGAAGCTCTGGGATGGGATTCTGGAAAGCACAGCAGCACCCTCTGCATGGCTCGCCAGCACCGCAAAGAGACTTGGGGGTGAGAGGACTGCTGCAGGTCAGATAGACCTAGTCTAGCACCCTTGGGTTTCTTGCCTTGCCCACTAAGTGTTCCCAGACTTCTCAGTATTGCCTGGATATGGAGCAGCCCTCCTACTGTATCACTAAGGTTTTTAAGTTTCCCAGGTGAATCTTTAGTTTTCTACCCTGCAGCTTTCCTGACGAGGAAGTCCAATTACATGGAATAGTGTGTTATTATTTATTATGGACTAATCTGAGCCATCTGGTTTCAATAAAAATATGCATTGATCACAGTTCAGAAACCACAGTAAATATCTGTCATCTGAATTCTCTTTAATGAAAGGGCTCCCAGCACAAGTAGTAATTGTCAAAGAGTTCTTCCGCTAAACATCTGGATCTGATGGGGCTGTTAAACAGCTGCTGATGTCTCATGAAAGTCTGGATTTAGAGATAATTAACTTAGTATTGTCCATATAGTAAGTATTTTTTCTGCCCTTATTTTTCATTGCTATCAATCCCTAGCCCTTCTCCTGTGCTGACCTCTCTCTCTCTAGATTCTTATTTGGTGCCTAGTCTCATAGTGTCTGACCATCTTCCAAGATTAAAAAGTGAATACGAAGACAGACATTCTCTCTCTTCCCAGAAGTCAGCCTGGGCTGGATTTGTCCACTTCTTGCAGGAATGTAGGTCAGAGAAGCGGGGTTTGTGTCATGTTCTGAAATGGCTAATGTTCATCTCTCTAGGTAGTGTTGGTACTTACCAGGCCCTGGTAGTACATAATTGCAATGCATCGTACACAATAATATTTTTATCCTTACTCTGAGGCAGGGGTATTAGCCCCATTATACAGCTGGGGAACTGAGGCCCAGAGAGATTAAGTGACTTGACTAAGGTCACATAGGGAGTCTGTAACAGATAGGGTGACCAGATCAGCACTATAAAATATCGGGACGCAAGGGGGGGGTAGCAAAAAAAAAAAGGAGTTTCAAAGGGGCCGGGGGCATTAGCAGGCTCCGGCCACGCACGCTGCCCTCCTCGCGGAGCCTCCCGCCCCCTGGCCCACCACAGGCATATGCGGCGCATGGTGGGTACGGGCGGGGGGCAGCGCGGAGCGGGCAGGGGTCGGGTGGGTGGTGCGGGCCGAATCCCCGCTGCTGCTGGGGAGCCCCGCCCCTCTCCCTCCCGCTCGCGGCTGCGGCTCCTTCCTGGCGGGACGTGCCTCCCGCCGCCCCAGCCCCATGCGGCGCGCGTCCTCCACACCTAGTCTCCCTAGTCGCGAGTGGGAGGGAGAGGCGTGGGGCTCCCCGGCAGCAGCGGGGATTCAGCCCCCGCGCTGCCCACCCGGCCCCTGCCCGCTCCGCGCTGCCCCCACCCGGACCCACCGCGCTGCCGGGCTGGAGCAGCCTCCAGGCTGCGCTCTCGGCTCTCTGGTGCAGCAGGGGGCTCAGAGCTGAGCCCCCCCATCTCCCTCCCTTGCCAGCACCCCTTTGCCCGCCAGTGCCTGGGTGCCGGAGCTGACTCACCGGCTCCAGGATCCAAGCACCACCGCCACCCCCTCCCTCCAGGCTTGCACCGCCATGCAGCTGCAAGCCTGGGAGGGAGGAGGAATGCTGCGTGGTTGGGGAAGAGGTGGGGCCAGGGCGGGGATTTGGGGAGGGAGCCAATGGGGAAAGGAGGGGGCGGAGCCGGGGGGCATGAGTGCCAGAGTGGAGGGCAAAATTTCTTGTTTGTCCAGTGTCCCGGCCAAACATTGGTCGGGACGCGGGACAAAGAAGCAAATATCGGGACAGTCCCGATAACATCTGGTCACCCTAGTAGCAGAGCAGGGAATTAAACCTACGTCTCCCAAGTCCCAGATTAGTACCCTCACCATTGCACCACCCTTTCTGTTGACGCCCAGCCTCCTCTCTTCTGGGAGTGAGTTCCAGATTCAGGAGCTGGTCACTAAGAAAGCTCTGTGTCCTGCACACAGGAACTTTGCTCTTGGGGCTGACAGTTCTAGAGGATGGCAGCTCTCCTGGGTAGCTGCAATAATGCAGAGTGAGACCGTCTCCCCTTTAGGTAACCTAGTCCAGACCCATGGAGAACTTTGAAGGTGAGGCACAAAACCTATGTCCCAGCAGTAATATTTTGCATGAGAACAGGCTCTCTAGCAGTTCACTTGTTGTTTATTCCATGCCTGGAATTCTAGAGCCATGGAAGTTGGGCTCCAAGGAACAATATCTATAACAGGAAATCTCTCTCCTACAGGGGCAGGCCCCTTTGGGGTCACCATCCCTCCCACAGACACAAAACAGACTGGTGCCTTTCACCCCACGAGACTCTCACACTCAGCACTCTAGTTGTTGTCTGCAGACTGGCTGATGAAAAGCCATGATAGATGAAGGTCATGCTGTCAAAGGGCCTTAAGCCCACATGGATATGCCGTTGTGTAAAGAGCTGTGAACAACCCATTTATGCTTTAGTTCTTTACACCTCAATCATGCTGTTCCCTACAAAACACAGGCCGGAATCATTTATTATGTCACAGATTTGTGTGTGTGAATCCTTGTATTTGTTATCTTCTGTGTTACTTGGAGGTCTCCATCCTAGTACTGACCAGGTATGACTAGGCTTAGTTTGTGGTCACAGTTCAAGATGGCTTTTGACTTCTCCCAGTCCAGCTCTTCATTGTTGGGAGCTCAGAGTTTCAGGTTCTTGCTAACAGTGATATGATCTTAACTAGTTGAGGGATGGCTCAGGTGGTGTCCATGGCCAGAGAGCACACCACGTGCAGCAATAACCTTGCAAAAATTGTTCTGGCTTGATTTCTGGGATGGATTATACAGATTCCAGATACCTTAAGGGGACAAGATGTGCTGGGAGTTTACACTGTGTTGTCTTAAAAAATGCTTCTCTTTTCTATTTTTGGGTGCCACTTGAGTTCTTCTGGAAGGCAATGTGTGTTGTGATTAAAGAAGGGTGCTTGTAGTCAGGACTCCTGGGTTCCTGGCTCTGGCGCTGCGTCACCGTGTGATCACAACCAAGTCACTTAGGCCCAGATTTGTAAAGATATTTAGGCATTGCTCGGCTCAGTGTTGCAAGCCCTCACTAAGTTTGTTGTTTAAATACTTCTACAGACCTAGCCCTTGGGCTCCTATGTCGTCTTAGGAGTTGCAAACATACCTTTCAAATCTAGACCTTACCCTTTCTGTGTATCAGTTATCCCTATTTTACAGATGAAGGAATTAAAAATTGTCCACCTCGGAGACTGCAATAATACATTTTATAGTAAAAACAACGAGGACTCCTTGTGGCACCTCAGAGATTAACAAATTTATTTGAGCATAAGCTTTTGTGCGCTATGCCCAAATAAATTTGTTAGTCTCTAAGGTGCCACAAAGACTCCTCATTGTTTTTGCTGATACAGACTAACATGACTACCCCACTGAAACATGTTACAGTATTTTGCAATCCTGGATGACTGAGGCCATGTCTACACTAGTGAGCTTACAGCGCTGTAAGATCGCTCATGTAGCCTCTCTAAGCCGATGGGAGAGAGCTCTCCTGTCGACATAATAAAACCATCTCCACAAGTGGAGTAGCTATGTCAGTGGCAGAAGGACTCGCACCGACTTCTGTTGGTGTAACTTACATCGCTTGGGTGTGTTATGTTGCAGCTGGGGCCAGGAGCAGGAGCTGAGAGCAGGGGTCGGGAGCCAAGACCAGGGGCTGACGGCTGCAGCAGGGCTGTGGCTGGGGCCAGGGCCAGTGTGAGAGCAGTACTGGGAGCAGAGCGGGAATGGGTGGCGCTCCCTTCCTGCCCCATTGTGGGGGCTGGCCCGGGCCCTGCCACACCGGCCCATGCCCTGCTGTGCCCCCCTGAACATCCTTCTTTGCCCCCCTACGGGGGTGCACATT